AATGAATTAATCAAATAGGTTTTCAATATCTTGCTCTCTCTTTTCTTCTGACACCTCCATAATTCAGATGTTGGTATGCTTGCAGTTGTCCCAGAGGCTCCTTACATGATCTTCATAGTTTAGATGATTTCTTTTTTGCTCTTCTGGTTGTTTTTTGCTTCCTCATATTTCAAATCATTGATTTGATTCTCAGAATCCTCTACTGTTGAATACCTGTATATTATTTTTTATTTCAGTCAATGTATGCTTAATTTCTGACTGGTCTTTTTCTATGTGTTTGGCATTCTCACTAAGATCCTTGAAAGTCTCACTAAGTTCCTTAGAGGTTTCTAGAAGATCTTGAGTAACCCTATAACTGTGGTTTTGAACTCTATATCCAGTAGTTTGCTTTCTTCCATTTCTTTCATTTGTGAAATGTTTCTTTGTCTCTGCATTTTGGCTGCTTCCCTGTGTTTGTTTGTTATGTATTGGGTAGAGCTGCTATGTCTCCTTGAGTTGATAGAGTAGCCTTGTGTAGGAGGTGTTCTATAGGGCCCAGTGGCCCAGCCTCCCCAGTCACTTGAGCTGGGTTCTGTATTTTAGTTGTAATTTTGATGTGGTTTTGGGAGGTGGCGAGTACAGGCATTTACCTATGCCACCATCTTGGTTCCTATTTCCATTAATTCTTAGTGTGTGACATTTCTCAAAATTTTTAAGCCCCCAGTGTTTTAGACATAGGATTAAAAATTAAATTCACTCCAGATCCCACTCTTCTTAATACTGTGGGGGCCCTCTTCAGTTGGAGCTATGAAATATTCAACTTTGGATGCATATTTAAGAACCAATCACTCAGTTTATCAGCCAGCTACAGTGACCAAGTAGCTAGACTTGCCCTGTCTTTCAACTACTAGATGTTTGACAGTGAAGAATTAAATGTTAAGCTACTAAACTTCTTGGTTAAAACTATTTCCACTTACCCAGAATTTGGGGAGAATGATAATGTTTGTTACTGCCTGAATCACCTCAAACAAATATAAACCTTTCCAGTCATTCGTAAGTCAAAAGTATTTAAAGACCTATGTTGTATGATAATAAAAAATAAATAATTCCAAAATTATCTTAGTACAATTAATTTCCAGATTTATAGAGATTTTGTTAGATAGGACAAGGATCTCAAGGTCTGGGCTGTTCTAAAGGTTATTTCTTGCTAAATGTTAAAGTATGGCCCAGTATTTTTCAGATGCAGCAGTAAACAGGATTAGCTAACAAGGAACTCAACGGAATGAAAGTAGCCAACTGCAAAGAGGATATCAACATACTAGAGGCCCAGTACATGAAATTTGTGCACAGTGGCGGGGGGCCGTCGCTCAGCCCGGCCTGCACTCTCACAATCCAGGACCCCTCGAGGGATGTCCGGCAGTCAGACATCCCTCTCGCAGTCCAGGACTCCTCAGTATCCTCTAGCAATCCGGGACCCCTCGGGTGACGTTGGGTCTAAACTGGCAACCGGACATCCCTCTCACA